ATATATATATATGTATAAATACATATATATAAAGCAAAGCTGTTTTGATGCAAGGCCAGGTTATGAAGGTAAAGACAAGAAGACATGTCAGTGTGACTTTCTGGTTCCTGGCTGAATATCTGACAGAATGTGGAAGAGAGAAGTAGGTACATGTTTTTTTTCTACCCAGCATGAGAGAGGGATTATCTGAAAACTACCCAAACCAAACTAAAACACTCCACCTAAATTAATGTTTTAGACATTTGGTGCAACCAACCTAAAATGCTAAAGAGAGATTTGTATATATTTTCTGTCCTGAAAAAAAAAGAAAAGATGAAACTTCAGCTTTATTGACATCAGTATTATTTGAAACTGCTTTAAAGTTCAAGAGAAATTAACCCCTCCATCTTTTCCCTTTTCCATGCACAGATGCATGCATATGCACACAGAAGCCTCACATGATCCTGTGGGGTTTGTAGGAGAAGACCTGAATTATAAAGCATAAATTTAAAAAGAAACTAAGTTTTATCTAATTTTTTTCTCTTTCATTTTCCCCTCTTCATCTTTTGCTCTCACTCTTACTCTCTTACACTCCCTTTCCTGGTGCTCATTCCACTTTGAAAGCAAGGTGTGAGGAAAATGGATTCCTCTCATTAAAGCTATAGACAATCTGAGGTTCTTTTCTAGTACTGATATGCTGACTCTTCTCTCTTCTGTAGTAAACTCATAAATCGATTTACACAGATCAGTCTTTAGAGGAAAACAAAGAGGCAGTCATGTATCTGGACAAAAAGTCATAGCACTTAGGAAATAGGTTTTTCCAGTGTTTTCTTGTTTTCCTTGGGGCTTCATGCTGATTCGGTCCTCAGAAACTGGGGACAGAGTAGCTCAAGTGGTAGCTTTCAGGCCAAATACAACCCACAGGAATATTTCAGATAAGGTATGCAAAGCCAGGTTGGATGGGACTTGGAACAACCTGGTCTAGTTGGAACTATGTGACATTTAAGGTCCCTTACAACCCTCCCAGCTCAAAGAAGAGCTGAAGGACAGTTTGGGCAGCCCTACAACATGCCACCTCTTCAACTCACACTTATGTAATGCTTAGAAATTTGAGCTGCCTCAATGCTTAGCCTATGAGATCTAAGTGGCTTATGATCCAGACCTGACAAGGCTGGACTCTTCTAAATCTCAAGTTGTAGCACAGCTAAAGCACCTGACTGGGCTGTAATAAGGGATGGTGTTTTCATGAATTCTAAAATGACACATATATTAGTGATATATATGCACCACTGTGCCCAGGAGTAGTTTGGGACAGTGACATGAGACCTGACAAAGAAAGCCCAGAAATTATGCAAATAAAGAGCAGCACAGATACCAAAAGTCTATGCACTACTTTTATTTGCAAATATCAATATATTTGAAGTTATCAATATAACATCTTGGCAGTAAGATCCTCCAAAATGTATTGAAAAGGGAGAAATGTTGAATGCAGCAAACGAAATACAACCCTGGCTCAGGTAGTGCACAAGAGTTGCTGCTGTGAATTTAAGGATCTACAGAATCGTCTGTTCATGATCAAAAAATATGGGAAAATCATTCTTCATGCAGATTAAGTTTTCTGAATTCAGGTCAGATGGACATCTCAGAGAGCAGCTGCACAAACACGGATGCACCAGGGGTGTAGAAGAGCCTCTTTTTTTGCATAAAGTTGTGCAAAATTCAGCAGTTTTCAGGCTCACTGGCAGCTCCTTTGAAGATTTCATCTGTTTTATTCTTTGTGTGAACTTTGAGTTTGAGCAAACCCAGCACTTCTGATCCCTTCATGGGGACTATGCTGTACTTCAGGTTGGACACATGTTTACAGATCTTGATGAACTGGGACTCAGTGGAAAAACTTCAGAGAGAAGTGTGAGCTTGAAAATTTACAACAGAGGAAATGGGAAAAACTTCTCTCTGACCTGTGCCAGTTTGTGAACTCAGGTCTTAATTATTAACATTGAACAAGAAACATCACGAGCAAGTGGAGCACATAACTGTGCACTTAAGACCTGTAGGGTAATTTATTCCTCAAGAAAATTCCCTTTCACCCCAACGCAGTAGAGGCTGGATCCCATTCCACTGTAGATATCAGAGGGTATAGCTCTTCAAAAGGTCTTTCATTATCTTAGAGCTTATTCTAATAACGAAGATTTGTGTGATTCCTCTGAATTTTTATGGTCATAAAAAGTCCCTTTCTCTTTCTGACATCATATCATAGATTCATAGAATGGTTTGGGTTGGAAGGGACCCTAAAGACTGTCTACTTCCAACTCCTCTGTCATGGGCAGGGACACCTTCCACTAAACCGGGTTTCTCCAAGTCCCATCCAACCTGGTCTTGAACACTTTTGATATGGCATAAACATATTTACTTATAAAATACCAATTTATCATCTTTTGGTTTCTTTGCTGCCTTGATTATGGTTTACAATGAAGAATTTCTGAACCTCTTCATGTTATAATAAATCTATATAAAATTTATGAGATTTCCCATGATCAAAAATCAGCTCATATTGGATAATGGTTGTAAAACATGTAATATTTATGTTAAAACCATTCATAAAACCTTGTCAGATATTCCAGTGAAAAGGCTGTAGTTTATCCTTGCCAAAGATAATAGTTTGGCTCCATCCCAATCTATAGATTTATACAGAATAGAGACAGAGAATTTATTGAGAGAAAGCCCAGTAGTCTGCAATGCAGGTAGAAATGAAGATGAAAGATTCACCATTGAAAAAGCATGTAATAAAATTTGTAATGACTGTATGGAGTGACTGCTTTAGATTTATGTCTCATCTGCTATAGACCCATTTGTAGAGCACCAACAGCTCTTGGGTATTTTGATCAGAAATAACATTAATTTCATATGTATAATCAAGAGCAGCTACATATTAAGACAATTAATCTTTTTCTGTGTTGGGGAACCAAGAATTTCTTCTTTTTCTCTCTTCCCCAACTGATCAGGTCAAATTTCCTGTGACAAAGAATTGTTAAGTCTGAGGCTCATCCTTCAGAGAAAGACAGAGAAACCAAGTGATCAGTCTGAAAAAGTCTGTGTTGGAAACTTGACAGATAAAATAACTAATGCTCCTGGAAAACATGGTGAATCACATTTTCTCTGGCATTTGAAACAAGCTTAAGTGCCTTCTGTGATATTTGGAGTATCTTGTGGCTACCCCATCCCTGGAAATGTTCAATGCCAGGTTGAACAGCGCTTGGAGCAACCTGGTCTAGTGGAGGGTGTCCCTGCCTATGACAGGAGGTTGGAAGAAGATGAGCTTTAAGGTCCCTTACAACTCAAACCATTCTATGATTCTATGATATTTAATCTCAAGAAGATAAGTACAATTTCACTTGAGGGGTTCAGATGACCTAGCTGTGAAGGCTTCTGGACTTAGGGGATGGGAATAAACATTTTTTTAGCTGTTGACAGTATAAGAGCCTAGTGTGCATTGGTTGGCTAAGCTCCCATTCAGCTGGAGAAGTAAGCCAGACTGTTCATCTAATGGAGTTCAGAGAGAAATTCAAGTCACACTGATGTAGATGTCTATGTTAGACCTGCTTAACTGTAATGCAGATTTCACAAGCTATAGAAGCAAGATCCCTGCAGACCACGGCAGGAGATATACAGCTGGCTGAAGTGGAGGCACCTACATGTAGGTGAGTAGAATCAGAAGTCTGGGTCAGAAGCTGATCTGACCTCAACATCTCTACACTAGACTGAAAAGGAATATGGACTCAGCTCAGCCTCTGGGTCTGGCAGCACTCATCATTCCCCAGGCACCATCAGAGAAGACTGTCTGATTCAAGTCCAGGGAAGCATCTGCAAGGATCAAGACCTGTGCTCTTCGGGTGCCCATCTTCAGTCCAATACTTAGTGTCTACAGCAGACATGAAAGAAAGTACTGAATGATCCAGGAGATGCTTGCAGAAGCTTTGTGCTCCAACCTACTGAAGTGCAGCAGAGAAAGAAGGGTGGGAGCTGTACCAGCTGACAGCTTTTGTAGCTGAAGCATTCAGCATTTTATCCTGTCTGCTATTTCTTCTTTAAACAGAGGAATCCTTGGGGATTAGATACCTTATACCACATTTACTCAGTGTGCATGTAATAGAGAATCATCTATTTTTCCACAAGTTAGGTATCCCATTAAAATCCCTCTATGGGTATTCTGCATAAACAAGTGAGTTTCCCTCAGTGTGCAAGTGTAGCTGGGTGTTTTGGACTGTGTGTGTATAAGGGAAAGTATACATACACCTAAGTGTTATGTGTGTGCATGTGCACATTGCCGCATTAGAATAGGAGTGGGATTGTGTAGGTGTGCTCATGTACCCAGAGGATCCACACAGATGTGTGTAAGAAAAAACAGGAATGTGTGTATTTGTGAACCAGGAATTACCCTTGCCTCTCCCTGCCTTCCAACAGAGAGACAGAAGAAGTAGGATGGTGGGTATTTTGGATTCTATTAAAAGTCTGAAGGACTTTGTCCACACACCACCCTATCACACCACCTGGCTGTTGGGTGCCTCAGGCACTATCAGAATCTTAAGAATTAGCACCTGTTGGGAAATTGGGAAACAGAGGTTGTCTGTCCAATCAATGAATGAAGAGTGGCTCAGCTAGCTGTGGGCAACACCATTCTAAGACTTTATAGGCCTAATGAACATACTTGTCATTATGGTCTGTAAACAATTCTCTGGAACAGTTCTTTATATGTTGATGTTTTCAGGTGTCAGCTAATGGATGAAAAAAAGATAAAGATCTGTAGCCTCAGTTAGTCATGTATTCCCCTCTGTGGTCTGAGTAAAGACAGGAGTTTCATCAAACTTATATTTGATAAATAACTTAGATGACCCCGCCATTTCGATGTGGCCCTCTGGAAGTTCCCACCTCACTCTTGACTGTATCTAGCACATTGCCTGAAGCAAAAATGTGAAATTTTTTTTTATTAGTCCAGTAACTCCTGGGCTAATAAATCTTTCTGATCCCAAAACATCTACACATTTTTCTCCATAACTCGGATAAAATTCTGAGGAAGTTTGAACTTGATATGCATGTACCACAGGTCTTTGTCTTCATAATGGGTTCTTAGGCTGTCTAAACCACTACATTAAATACTGCTAGAACACAGGCTTAAGAATTGAGTCTAAATATATTAGCAGTGTCCGGCTTTACAATCTGAGCCAGCTTTCATTCTCCCAGATTTTTCCAGGTGTTGTTCAGGAATTAGTACAGCAAAACTGGTTTAGAGGCCCAGTCTGCATCAGAGGTCAAAGACTTAATAGCATGGTCACAATAAGATAATGTGAAATGGTCTCAGTAGCCTAGAGGAGGCCCTGGAACTAGTTAATTGAGAAGAATGCAGCCTGTCCTCCTTTTATTTCTACTTTGATTAATCTATATTGGCTCTGAATTTGAGTTTCTACACCTTTAAATAATCTACTTCATAGGCTGACTTGTAATTTGTCTCACACCTAGAGCAAGATAACTTTCTGCCCAGATAGGGAGATTTGCCCAGGAGATGTAGAAAATTACTTACTCAATCTCAGACTGTGGCCCTAGAAGCATGTTGAATGCAACGAGCTTGCACTGCATTGCTGTACAAACCTGCACTCTTTATAGGCACAGATAGCAGGAATCATGGATATTACAGTCTTCTAGGTAAGGGAATGAATACCATTAAAACATATATGCAATCTTTATCAAAATTAAGGATATTAGTTAATTGTACCTCTTTCAAAATCATACCTGAAATGTGTTAAATGTCTCTGGATGTCGAGGTCTAATATTGGAGTCGGTCTGGAGGATCCAAGGGGTGATCTGTCTTGACTGAGAAGGTCCTGGAATTCTTTACATATTTGTCTAAAAGGAAAGTGGAAATCCTGAAATAAGACAGGTATAATCCTTTCCATAAAGCTGATTCCTATAACTCTGTCACCTTATCCTGAGTGATCTCATTCATAACAGAATTGCTTGGCAGAGGTACTGTTACAGAAACTAAAGGCAAATGAATCCCCCTTTTTCCTTCCATGCCTCAAATTCCCATAGCTAGCAACACACAGAATGTCTTGAACAGGAGTAGTTTCCTTCTGGAACCATATTAACAGTGGCATTTTAAAATATGATTTTTCTCCTGAATTGGCCCCAGTTTGGCAGTGCACACCTAGGCTGGAAGCAAGGCTTATGGATAAAGAAATTTATGAATGATCATTAAACATGCCAGAAGACTTTGTGTAAATATACCAATACTTCTTTGTAAAGGATCGATGGGCTTGCTGTCTTCCTTCTCAGATTTCTCAGGATGCCTCAGCACCTGAGTGTTATAAATAATCTGTAGGATATCTCTATATAGGACCTAACTCAAGGAAAGACATGAAAATGAGGGCTTTTCAGTCTTGTGATGTTGTGTTGGGCCAGTTTGTGAATAAGCCTAGGAATATTCTACCAATATACTTTTAAAAAATGAAACCAAAACAGTTCCATTTAACTCATTTCCTCAGAAGAGCAATATCTGGACCATGGATGAATAGACACCACTTACTTTCACTTGGTTTACGATAGAGTTAACTAAAAAAGAAAAGGTGACCTCCAAATCAGCATATAGTTCTTCGTTGCCTGTACTGTAAATATAGGCACTAATGGGGAGTCAGGAGGGCATGGTCACCTCTAGAAGAACAGGACACTCAGTTGGGTTATCTGATACTAGCTGGATTGACTAAATACTGGGCACAGTGGCAACATATAACACAGTTGGCATAGAGTGCAGGGGTCGTTTTCATACATACACACAGTTTGTAATCATCTGATAACATCTGTACAGTTATGTCTTCTAGTCTTCTAAACCCTGTGGCTTCCTGAGAATAGACCCTGTTGTGGACTATCTCACAGATCATGCCTGGAAGATATTGGTGAGAATTCAATGAGCCATTCTAACATTATAATAACATGAACAATTGCAATCTGATGACTGAGTTTGTGTGTGGTTTACTTTGTTAGCATAGATGCAGTCATTGTGCCTGGGGCCAGTTTCTAATATTAAAGAGCATGCCTGTGGTCCATGATTTCTGTTAGAAGACTCATAGCACATCTGGTCCTAGATAAAGTTTAAGTTCTTCAATATCAGCTTTTAACTCTTGTCTTTGGGGACAGGAAGATAATGGAAAAAAAAAAGTGGATGAACCCAGCTTCTTGGTCTTTAGAAGGCCCTTCATTCTTGAGTTACAAGTATGAGAGCTATACTAAGCTTGGTTATATCCTTTTACGCTTCATTATACCACTGTTCTGCAAGTTGTGCATATAAGCTTGAAGTACTACAGCTCTCTCTTGACCAAGTGGAGAGGAGATGCACAAACTTATTTCCTGCTGTGCTGCTGGATCCTATCCAAGCCAGGTTTCTGTAAATGCTTGTCATTTGTATGGACCTAGACACCAACTGCTTGAAAAGACAGCATCATCTTAGTCTTTCAGGCAAAGAGAGGTATTCAGCAGAAATATATGTAAATGCAGCATACAGTTTTAATGAATCAGGTCCTTAGAGGAAAAACAGTTCCTTTCAACAACTGAAAACAGTCAGTCATTTTGGCTTCTAAACAATCTACTATCCCCAGTTGGCCTTGTCAGCACTGCTCTTCTCTCCTTCCTCCAACCTCTACTTTCTACCTGTTGAAAAAGTTCATCTTAAAAGTTCTTTTATTTTGACAAAGAAAAATGTCAGAACCAAGTGTGCAATTAAGCTCCTTTCTATCTTCACGTGTCAAAAGTCTTTACTGAATGTTGGCAGATTGAAAGAAAAGAAAAAACTTTTTTATTATACATGAAAACCTTTAAAAGGCAGTAACCTACTTTTTTTTTCAAGGGGATTTCTAGGCAAAGTGGTGTCTCAGAGCCTCCACTACCAATAAAACATCACCTCAGGTAGTGACAGAGAGAGGGGTTGACAATATTTTGCTGAGTTGGACTCTGACTTTGACAAAACAGAGATGGTTGTGGTGTCTTGGAGGGCACAGATTAATAAAAAAGTCCTGGTCACTCCTGCATGAGATACATCTTACGATTTGTGAAGCATGGTTAGATGATCCAGTATATGATCAGGAAAAGATAAAAAATTATCTCCTGGATCGGAACAAGAGATCATCTAGTCCATGATCTCTAGCAGTGGCCAAAGCAAAGGCCTTGTGATGAGTACAAAGTGTAGCAAATGTAAGCCCACAAATCTGATTTATTCCAAGTGTAGCACAGTTGCCAGACATCCAAGGACCAGATATCAGAGAAGTATCATGAGCCAGATGTTGTTTATTCTGTGCTGTCTGTAATCAACACCACAATAAAATTATAATTCACAGTATTCTGTTTTGGTCTGTGTAAATGTGTGTGTCTCTGTCCCTCTGTCTCATGTGGAAGACCTTGTGGTGTGATACTCTGTGATGTTTCTGATAGGACAGCGTGCCTCTCCATCAAGTGGAATAACTGGCATGGCCTTCAGCAGTTTTGCTGTGTCTAGTAGCTGCAACCTGGTGAGGTTCTGTCCCCTGTTGTAAAGTCATTCAGGGTCTCCCACACCTCTGCAAGGTGAACTAACTCATGTTTAAAGACCCTTTAAAACCAGGTCCTGCTTTTTCCCCCTCATTTCTGCATGAATTGAATAGACACGTCCTGAAGCCTTTCTAACATGTCCGGAGTTAACAGGTCAATATCAGCACCCTTTGGCCAGAATAATGACAATTCAGTCTTTTTTTTTTTAAGCATCTTGCTCAAGTGCCCAGACAATCATCTACTTGCCCAGACAATAATCTACTCAGTCAAAGGAGGTGAATGGAAAGATACTCATAGGAGACTGGCTTCTCTCATTGTTTATGCCTTTCTTATCCTTTCAGCTCTTAACCAAAATTTGCTTCACTCCCATCCCGCCTTTGCTGCCACTTGTGTTTAGCAGTGTATACTGACTACACAGCCAATTCATCTCTTCTTCCCATGATAATTCTGATTCTTCATTGTCTAGACCATAAAATTGTTAGAATAGGCCATGGCACCACCTTCTTGTATCAGTTTGTACTGTTCCAGGCAGGTCCTGAGTTAGCAAATGTGAGAGACCATTTCCAAGAGGCAATTTTGAAAGGTCGGGTAGCTTAACACAAAGAATGTGGTTTGCTCCATGATGGAAAATGGTCCTGTTTTCATTCACTGTCAGCATAGCCTCAGACCAGGTAGGACTGAGCAAGGTGGTGAATAGACTGTTACCTTTAGCTCAGTGGCTTCCATGTGTTAAAGAGGGCTGTCAGCATCTAAAGCAGCAGTCTTTAGCCTTCACTAGACCAGGGGCCACAGTTCTGTGCATGGCAGATCAACTACTTCCATTCAGGGTGAGTGGATTACTTGATTGAAAGGTATAGATGAAAAGGAGGTCTAGGAGCTCCTACTGGACACCTGAGACTTCATCACTATAGACATTAAGGGTCCTTCTTATGTAGCCACACATAGATATGTAGTACCCAAGACACACATAATAACTGGCAGATACAACACAGTAACAAAAAGAGACCTGTGTACTCCTGGAGCAGCAGCTGGTCACCAAGCTGAACAGCTCAGTTCATCTCAAACGACAGTAGGTGCCTGTGTCTGGGCAACTAAATTGTGCCACTGAAGTTGGATGTCTAAATCCAGAATGGAATTTCCACCTATATACTAGGAATTATGGAAATAACTTTGTTCTTTCCCTTTACTTTTCCTCTAGACCCCACATATGGAAGATCTCACCAAAGGCACTTCTACAGGCTTCTGTCTCTCTTGCACAGTGGACAACAGCAACATACAGGCAATGGCACTCCAGTTCTTTCCATAGGAAAAACTTGTCATGAGGGATTTTACTATCCTGGATTTTATGTGTTGGTTTTCATGGAAGCATAAGTATCCATCACTTTTCCTGGTGTCATAACTCACAAGCACATGAGTCAGGAAAGTAATTGAATTACTGAAATTACAAACCTTGAGCTCAGGTATAACTGGTGAGCAACTGAAACTCCTGATGATTGCCTAGAGTGCCTTGTATCAAACACATGGAAACATAGCTGGAAAATGCCATGCTATTATTATGATATCATGGATCTGTGTCTTCTGCAGCACCTGGACAGGACTGGGCTGGGAAACACTGTTCTCCTTGCAGGCAGGAGAGGGCAGTAGTAGCACTCACATTGGTTCATCTGTCCCTGTGACCAGCACTCTGACTGCAGCAGGATGTGGCCTTTGTCTTATCGACCGAACTCTGATCGATTTGCACAGAGAGGCAGGGAAAAACTAAATTTGTTCTTTACAAGTGTAGGAAAACAGCCTACAAGACCAAAGTCCATGGTGGTTAGGGGTAACGCCCACGACTCCCCATCTCAGTAGTAAAGGAGGGTGAGAAAGTAGGTATGGAGTGATGAAAAGGATAGTGAGACTCTTACATGCCCCTCAGTGGAACAGCCTTTGGGGACAGGACATAACTGTGACATGCTGATTATTACAATCCATGGCAATATGATCTCTCACTATAGCCAGGAAAAAATGAGGAAGATTTGTCTCATTATGGTTGAGTGATGTTTCATAGATGGGGCAAATCCTTCAGCACTTGGGGTAACTTGCAGTCTTAACTCTTGTTTAGGCTGTGCTGCCCAGCAGTAGGATCAGCACTTATACAGTTAGGGGGGGCAGGCTGATAATAGGCTCCATAGCTATGGGGAGATACAACTTGCAGACAGGAACTGCTCCTTGCCAACTGGTTTATTCTAACGTCTGAAGCCCTTTGAGCCCTTAAAACAAACATAAATAGAGCTAAGATTAAGATCACATTCCACTTATTCCTTTTAATGTGCAAGTGCACTAGGAACATGATACATGAGGGTATCTCCTCACCTTCATAACCAGAATATGTACCCTGAGACACATGGTTATCCTATCACCCAGGGAATTACCACAGGTTGTATTCACAGGACTCACAGTCTTGAGATGTTTCAATGCACCTTGTCTCCCATGCATCTTCAAGGTAAAGTGCTCTGGATACAAGAGGGATATCAAGGCCAGGCATCTTGGCAAAGCAGAAGGACACTGGGATACAAAGGACAATCCTGTTGCTGCTTAGCTCTCTCCCCCACTACAGGGTGATTTCTCACTGTTGGATGTATCACAGCCTGGATGATTTCCAAACATTGCCGGCATTGAGGCGATGATTTGAGAGCTCAGGTTTCTGTCCTCAGTTCTACTGCAGCCTCAAATGTGACACCGCAGTAAGCACAGTGAGAGTCTGAATGTGTTCAAAGTTAGCCCATTCGGTAATACCACACACCTATTTATTCCTGTTTCCCGTGGCTCACGAAGGCTAATTCCTCCCTCATCAAGGCTAATTAACCTAGATGAAGTGTTATCCTAACATGATGTCACTGCTCTAGGGAGGCGAGTGACTTGTTTAGAGAGAAGTGTGGCTTCTCTTTGTGTCTTTAATGTCTTTAGTAAAGCTCCCCTGCTGTTGTACATTGTTCCAGTGCCTTTGACTTCAGGGAGAACTCCTGCAATTTCCATCCAGAAAGGATCTTTCCCTCTGCATAGCAGCTCCCCCTCGGCCGACTTATGATAATTATCTGACAGTAACTAGTACTTCAGTGGAAGCTTAGATCTCCTGCTCACATGCAAACAGGAGACAAAACCAGCCTCTGTCCTATAGATCTTACCATGTAATGATATCCTCTCCTCTCATCTAAACCAAAGCATCTGAGAAATATACGTGCCTGTTTAACCACAGGCTATGAGAGCACAGCCACTAAAACCTCACTGCAGTAAATAAGGCCCCTCTCATAGCATCTCTGAGGAGGATTGCTCTCACCCGCTGTCAGTGAGTGCTGTTGTGATAGGAGTCACTTCAATCCCAGCTCCATACTCCCACTCCTCCCTCCTCCAGCCCCCAGATCCAAAATGGAGAAGTGACAGACAGATTTCATTTTTAGTTTCCCCTCCCTTCTTACTTTGTCGCTAGGATCATCTTTTTCCTCGCTGTCTGCTCTTTCTGTTCCATGTGCTGTCTGGCAATGTGCTCTCCTACCGCCTTGGCAGGGAACTCTGTTTCACAGGTGTAGCCGAAATCTCTGGCCAAATGTAATGCTTCCCCTGTGGTCAAATAAAATGGGTCAGTCAATTTTTAGGGTTAATATTATTATTATTATTACTGTTATATTGCTAATATTATTGTTACAGAATTTATTCCACTCTTAATAAAACCCCAACCAATAACATAACACTTCTGTAGACAGCCATTCCCAACTCAGTTACACATTTCAGCCCATTTGGCCTATTTATGCTTAGTCATCAGGTGGTGCCAGCCAGAAGATAGGAAGGATATTCGTCTCCTGAGAAAGAAGGTTATTCTTCATATGAGAAAATACTAGTCAAGACACTTGGGTTTAGCTCCTTCCCTTGCCACCAATGAGTAATGGGCAGCTGCTCCAGTTTTGTAAGCCCAGTTCATCTATATTTAAGGCATGGAAATGAGTGGATGGTAGGAAAAAATAACTCTGAAGAGCTGAGTCAGCCTTTGGTGTTTCACTTCTCTAAGTCTAATGGAAGAATAGCCCTCTGTCCCAGGAGGGAGTCGTGGGGATAACACACATTTCATCATATTTGTTTAGGGGTTAAGCCAACAGGCACAATAAAAGTGGCCCTCGTTAGAGATGAACAGACTCCAAAGGAAAGCTCAAGAAATAATCCTGTTTCCAAAAAGATTGCAATCAAAATTGACCAGGCAAAACAAAAAGGGAGGACAATGAAGATAGTTGCCATTTTTCAGTGATTAAATCAAGGTAAAAGGAGTATATGGCTCTATTAGGTTTCGTGAGAAGTCTGCGACACTGAACACCTCCCTGCCTCACTACAGAGACTGGACACCATAACCCCACTCCATGCTGGCTTCCAAATATCTCTGGAAGAACCTGCCCCTCTTCCCTAGCTCAGAGTACCAACAATTTTGTTTTAGGGTTTACTGAACACTCTGACCTGTGTGCTGTGACTCTGACAGCCTTGGAGTGGGATTTATCTGATCAAACACAGCCACCTGGATTGCAAACATCTGTGCCTAAGTTAGTCTTTCTCTAGTGGGAAATAGGCACTTCCAGATGACACTTGCTCTCATCTCATTGTAGAAAGTAGAAATAGGTCAGCTACCAGAAGTGCATCTGCATGAGTGACTAACTGAGATGTGCTTCAGAATAGTTTGGGGTTTAAGAGCTTGTGGTGGGTGGTTTTTTTTGGTGGGGTTTTTTATTTGTTTGTTTGGTTTGGTGTTTCTTAGTTTGTTTGTTTGTTGTTGTTTTTTTCCCCACAGTTGTGTATTTGATTGCCATCATGAGAGATGGCAATGGACTCTGACTCTTTGGAGACCAGGCTGATGCTCCAGCTGAGCAGTTAGGAGGGATGCAGGAACTGTAACTCCTCCCTTTGAGAACAAATGTGGTGAAATTCGTCTGATTAAATGTCAGTATTGATGTCTGACCTAATACTTTCAGATCAATGGAGACAAACTAGCTCTTGAAGCGTGTGTCATGCCATACTAGAGTGGAAGGCAAAAGTGAATCAGAGGAATTCTAAAGAAGCCCAGATTAGAAGGGAACTCAGAAAGATAATTTTCTGCTAAAAGCTATGCCTTATATTGGGTTATTCATGTAATTTTCAAGCCTAATCTTGAATATTTCCAACTATGGAGACTCCACAGATTTTCTGAGCAACCTAATCAAATGTTTAATCATTAATCATCCAGAAGTGCTGATTTCTCCCTTTTAACTACAGTCTGACATGAGAAGACAGTTACAACTGTGATGGAGATGGTGAGATGAATCCCATCCCCAGCAAGACTGGGTCTGATCTGCACAGACATGGCTAAGCCAAGGAAGGCAGCAACTTCCGTGGAAACAGTGGCCCTGTGCAAGGGGCAGTATGAGGAATAAGGAACTTCATGCACTGACCTCTATTCCAGCCTTATTCCCCCCTTTTCAAATTTTGTCTCCCCTTCTATCATTGGAGTTTTTACCAGAAGAAACACCTTTAGTTTACACTAGCAAAGATTTTGCTGTGTTTATCTGACCTAGCTGGATCCAGGTACTAAAATAATACATGCACTACACCCAGGCAACCTGTTTGCTGATACCAGACAGCAACAATGTTTGTATCTTTGCATCAAAAATTGAAGATTACAATCAAAATTATCTGCATTAATTGGATTTTAAAATATGTTTTCCAGCATGACTAAAGAGAATGAAAACATTAACAACCAAGCATCATCTCTGAGCTGAAAGGAGAACAAATTTCCACTTAGTTTACAGTTTCTAGGAAAGTAAAATGGAAAGTAAAGTGAAAAGAAAATGCATTTCAGTTATATGTTACCAGAGAATCAGAATGAACAGGCATAGAGTTGACTGCCATTTTTGTGTTCATAAAATCTCTCCCAGACTTCTTCATGGGTGAGAAAAGGTATAAATTTTAGTCATAGCTTTTAAATTTCTGTAGAGGTGCTTTGAAATTTTTATTTCAGCTATATTTTCACTTTCCTTAAAAAAAGTCTTAGAGTAAGTCAATTGTAGAAGAGAAGGTTTTGCTTTTCAACCGAATTCCATTAAAATACTTTGATAGGTTTCTCTTCATTCCAGCATGGAAAGAGGACAAAAGTCAAACCCTTTGAAGCTGTCATCAGGTGGAATTACAATTCTCTAGACAGCTCTATCCTGGTCCCAGTCAGATCCCGTAACAATACAAGGAATGTCGACAGCAAAGAACGTAAATATTTAGCCACTAGAAGAGTCTTATATTTTTCAAGAGTGCAAAACTTTATGTGAATAAATGTAGACATTTATGTAACCTGATCAGCAACAAAGTGAATGAAATTTGTAAGTTTTCACTTGCTATTAAAAAAAGGGGAATGAAAATGTGAATTTTCATTCAAACTTATAACTACACAGATGGCTTATACTATTTACTTGAGCTGAGAAAATTAAACTAAACTGTTCTGATGATCTAAAAAATTATTCAAAAGTATAAATCTTTTCTGTGTCTGGGATTGGGATTGGGATTGAATGCTATGGTATATAACGAGATGAAATCATGGACAAAAAGAAAAATAATTACTTATCTCCTTGTGGATAGGCAAAAATGTAGATACAAATGTAACTATTGTATTTGTGAAATACTGAATTAAAATATTGAAAATATTAAACCACTAATTTTAAAATAGATTTAAAATATTAAAAATTTCCAAAAATTTTTTTCCTGGAAGTGGAAAGCTGAGGTATACTAAGAATGTACATTCAAGTTATGCATACTTATTTATATAAGCACACACTTCCATATGCTATAAGGAGTAGACATTCTAAATTACAACTTCAAATTCTAAATAAAAACAAAAATCAATTTTTGGACATGAAAACACTCTGCAGAACACAATTTCTCATGTCTTATCGTTGAGCAAAGATGCCATTTTAAACCAGGACGAAATGATAAATCGATATTTAGAAGTGGATCGTGATCTTTTTGTGTGAATGGAGGTCCCTTGGATTACTGTAGAGCAGGATAGAAGTCATCTGTGGTGGGGGAAAAGCAGTTTGCATAAAACATCGCAGAATATGTCCTTCCTATTTCTACATCATAATTTGGACAAACATTTATTTTAGGGGAGAATGTGCAAATGTTGGAAATGTGGATGAACTGACCCCTTTTACCTTAGATTTGCCTACTTCTGACTAGTTGTTATTTGCATTGGGTAGGAATCGTACTAAAAGTAGAAACCCCTAGAATTCCTGACTTTTGTAGTTAGTTGCCCTGTTTCAGTCTAAACAATTCAATCCTTGGTGCCCTGTGTGTGATATCCCCAGCTCTTGCCTCCTTGAGACAAAGAGCAGGTTCTGGGGAACATGGACTCTCCTTAAACCCAGTACACAGCTTTGCAGCTCTTGGAGCATTGCCTCTCCTCTGTAGTCTGACAATTGACCAGAGAGCTTTGCATGATAGAAAAGGACAGTTGCTGAAGCAGAATTGGCAGAGACAGCTCTGGAAAGCCTCAGCAGAGAGACCAACCGTGTACCTTGAAAGGTTTCTGTGGGCAGGTGCAAGGAGCAGTGTCAGGGTCTCCTGGGTCCAACAAGAGTGAGAGATGCCCCTGTGCAGAGTGAAGGCAGAAGCTGTGTCCCAGGAGAGGGACACTCAGCATCTGAACCTCCTACTCTCTCCTCGTCTTTGCCTCCTCCGGATGCTCTACCCAGCAGAAATGTTACTCAGGGGGAGGAGGGACAGGCGGGAGGTGGAAGGAAAGTTTATTCTATTTGTGGGGTGAGAAGGGAGGAGGAACAAGTGAAAGGATATTTAAACAAAGGCTAGTGGGGGAGAAGTGTGACAGATGAAGTAGGATGAAAAAAGTAACTGCTGACCTATTTTTCTCAAGAGTTTTGGCCCCCAAATGATGAAAAACATTAATTCTGTGTATAGGAAATTTAGTGCCTTTATTAGATTTGACAGGAAAACAAACTCTAGATTTTTTTGCTAGTTACTTTTCTTTTGTCTGATTGTTTTGAAATCATTCATGCATTGCTTTTACCTGCATCTGCAATCACATTTATGTTAGGTCTCTGCCTCACAAGTGAATAGAAGGAAACATAGCCCCTCCTTTCACATCCTTCCTTGCTCCCTCTGGAGAGGCTTTTGTCTCTTTTGAGGCAACAGTAAGGCTTAGTCTAGACAATACTAGTCTTTAATGGAGGAGCCTTTGTTGAATTAGCCAAGATGTAGGAATTTTCCTTTTAGAAGAGGCAAAAAAATGACCCTTCCCTCCATCTGGTCTAGGCACTAGAGGGCAGCCCTCACCTACAGGTTGTGCAAAACTGCTGTGGAGAGTCCTGCAATACTTACTTCATTCTCCCTGTCCATCTTTACACTAATTTTGCTGATTTATGTGGATGACAAAAAGAACAGAGCTAATCTGTCAAACAATTCCTATTTTGGGCCCTAGAAGTTTCTACCAAAGATGCTAAAGAGGCAACCTGACAAAATCAAGAACAGGAGTAAAGAGCCAGCAACTATGTCGAACTCCAGAAGAAATAAATTTGCAGAAAACAAGAGGCCACAGAATAATTTTCATAAAGTCACTTAACACTGTTCTCCAAAACTAAATTATTTTAGTCAGTTTTGAAAGAAGAGATGCATTAGCTATGCCAAGGACATTTGAGATGGTTTGGGTCAATAGTCCTAATCACTGTACAACTCATTTTGCCTTTTTTTACATCAAACAGATATTCAAGAAGTTAAGCACACTCCTGCCTTACAGAGGTAATAAAGGCTTCAACACATTGAAGGCTGTGAGTATCTTTTGTAATAATAAACTTAGAACCATCTAAAGTACTCCTGGGTCCCTATGAGAGGTCCACACAGTGCACCAGATATTTAGAGATATAGTAAGACTAATAAGTCATGATTTCAATTTCTTTATTGCCATCACACAGTAAAAACCAATGTTGCTTTCTTTATAGATTCTCTAAGACACAGAATAAACCTATGTCCTTCCATTTCTGCCTCCTCCAGCAGCAGGAACGACTGAAGTTTCCATGTAGAAACTGTGCTATGTTAGTTTCACTTGGAAGGAATATGTTCATGTCCAAAGGGACATGCTTATACCACAAAGAACTCAATGAACACTGCCAAGTTTGACCCAGGATTGGTTACAGAGGCAGGAAATGAACTTTGTTTACTGTTGGAATGTCAATGCACAGAGTCTTTCCCAAAGATTTCAGTAGATAAAATTCCTGATTAGCATATCCATGCAAATTGGTCTCTATCAAAGTGGGCTCAGTCATGTCAGTATTTATCTGCAGGACACACAGCAAGGCAGTTCAAGAACAAGAGCAACACCATAGGCTTGAGAACAGGTTTGTTACTGGCTTCGAATGAAGAGCAGTGAGGCAAGCACAGCTCCATCCCTGGGAAAAAGGGATCCTGACTTACAATAAAGGCACTTTGCCATTAATCCTATGCCAACAATTGAAAGACTCACAATCTCTTCTGATGAATGAGCTACTGGCCACATAGAATCATAGACTCACCGAATGGTTTGGGTTGGAAGGGACACTTTCCACTAGACCATATTGCTCAGAGCCCCATTCAACCTGGCCTTGATCACTTGCAGGGATGAGGCAGTCACAGCTTCTCTGGGCAACCTGCGCCAGTGCCTCACCACCCTCACAATAAATAATTTCTTCCTAATATCTAGTCTAAATCTACCCTCTTTCAGCTAAAAGGCATTGCTCTGTTTACTAATGAAAAAATAGCTGTGTTTATTCTTCCCTGCTAAGACTCAAGATGCCTGAAGGACTACAAGGGTAGGAACAGCTCTTGCTCCTCTAACCTGGTACCTTTTCTAACACTACAACTCCATTAGTGCTTTCCCTTTATTGTAAGCAGGAGTGATATGGACAGACCTGTATTTCAGAGCATCCTCATTGTAGCTCTGCATTCTCAGTGGCCCCTAAGAACCTCAGTCTCTCATTATAGATGCTGAAAAACCTTCAATGTTGAGGATTCTATGATATTTCTGCCTTGAAGAGTCACCATCCTTTGAGATAATAAAAACCTCAGTACACAAGGTCCTGAGCAACCTCTTCTAATTGACCTTGCTTTGAGCAGGAGGTTTGGACTAGAAGATCACCAAAGGTCCCTTCCAGCCTCAACCTTTCTGCAATTCTGTGATTCTGAGGTAATATGTGCTGAGACCTCAGCCTACTTGCCTAGATCTGAATGGACCTTTCAGGTTATGATTGTAGAAGTTGTTGACCTTTAGGATGAGCTGAGTTGTCTCAACATCAAGGAGGAGGGATCTGAAATTCCCAGAGCTGCTACTTGCAGCCAGACAACAAACTGGGTACTTAGTGGATTCACCCAGAATAGAAGAGATGCAGGTAGAGTTTCTTTCCTTTGCCTGAGGGGTTTGAACCTGCATTTCCCAGCTGAAGGTTTGAAGAGCCTGGCAGTATTTGGTGAATGATATTTAAACAACAAATAAAGGCCAAGAAAGTATCTCCTGGGCTGTCTAGAGTTTATCTGAAAGCAGATTTCATTCATTTATGTGTGGGGGGAAAAGGCTTGTCTAAATATTATGCTTTCTTATGGGAGAGAAAAATATCATCACATTTTTGGATCAGCTCCAGGAAATTCACAAGTTTTAAAAAAAAAGGATAAACAAACCTACTTATAGAGTTGGTATAAGACATTCATCTCTCTCACAAGAACACTTGAATCATTGATTTGTAAGTGAGAATCCAGCACAAAAAAGCATGGATCAATGCTGAGGAAACTGCAGAACCAAGCCACTTGCTGGGGGCCAAGACATCTTGGAGCAAATGTCCATTTTGCCACTTGTTCTGTCAGTGGCTTTAGGCAAGTCAGTTCTCCTCTTTATACAAAATACAGAGGACAGTATCAAACTGTGGCTGCAAAGTGTTGTATACAATGAAACATTTTAATTCTGGTTATATTATATTGCAATACTATAAACCCTACCTTCTACCAAGGAAGTCAAGAGTGTGACATTTGCTGCTTTTCTTCTTCCTGCAGGCAAATTCAGTCCCAGTCTGTCTAATTTTTCTCTCAAGCAGCGTCCTCCATTCTTGGATTTTGCTCTATCATGAAAGAACAGCAGGAAAGAGAGACACTTGTTATTTTCTGCACCTTTTTTCCATATTAATATAAATCTAGAAATTGTACACACTTTGTTGACTAATGTGTGAGATAAAGCCTGTGCTAGTGACATCAATGGGAAATGTTTCGGAGCTGCATTCTTAACACCCTACTTGCCCTACCTGAGTCTTTAACATTGATTCTTTGACAGTTAGACATTTTAATGTCTGTCACAGAGGCATCAGATTTTCAGACAGCTTCCCACTTAGTGGAGCCCAGTATCCTGATTTGGGCCCAGAGTCTGGGATTACAATGACTACAAGTATTGACAGTGCAAATGCTTATATGTGATTTAGACAAGCCAGGTTCCAAAGACAAACTAGAGAGCAACATGACTTTCTAGAGTTATTTAAACAGATATCTAGAATGAGTGGACTTTACTTATCTGGCTCATCTGACTATTAAAGGAAACCAGATAATACAGATGTCTGTGTGGAATCCAGCTCTAGCTATCCCTTTCAAATTGATGTGGAGACCTGCATCCTTAGAAATGTAGTCTACAAAGCCCAGTACTTACAAGGAAGAAGGATAAGGCAATAGAAAATGCTGAAGCTAAAATCTCAGCCATTGTTTGTCAACTATGCCCCTATCCCAAATGTCTATGCCACTTTGTTCTCACAAAATGGTTCCTGGTGCACCCCACACCTGCTTTTCTGCAGCACCTCAGTGTTTAAAGCATTTGAGACATACCCACTTATGCAGCAGTTGTGGGAATTTCTTTCTCAGCCTAAGTGAATTTTAACCTGTCTTTTAGACAGATGCAGCAGTCAGATGACAGCAAATAGCTCATGTTAAAATGCTCAAGCAATGAACAGAGCAGTGACTGGAACCCTGATATCTCCCATTCCAGGTGAAAGACCTCTCCATTAGATAAGAATTACCACTACAATTGCACTTTCGCTTTTGTCCAACAAGTCTTTAATTAATCCCAAATGAGACTGAGGGGCCCTCAGTTTAGGAAAACCAATAAATGAATATTAAGCATGTCTAATTAGATATTTTGGGGTGCAGGTTGAAGTTCCTTTGGGCAAAGGAAGGAACAAAACTTAGATCACCATTTGGATGTCTGCTTTTACCTATTAAGAAATTCCAAAGCTTTGGCCATGTTGTACACCAGAAAATGTCTTCTGACAAGGCTTTTTTTTCTTTATCCTGAAGAACATTTAATTCTGAAGAAAAGCTATTTGGTGAAGTACCTGACTAGTGACTGGTGACAGGTTGGTTGCAAAACCAACCCTGCCAGGTCTCAGGCAAACCATCAATGAGATTTGGTTTTGCTACATCCTTGCTGGCCAAATACAGTGTTTGAGCATGTTCTTTAGATGTGATACCCTCAGGTGTAATCAAATCTGACCAAATCTGTTAATTTACACTCTCAGCTTCATAAAACAGAATTAGAATCCAAACTGCTGGCTGGGACTAACCCCTGGCTTTTGCTAATTCCTGAACCATGCCCAGGGTTGATTTGGTAGAGGGATATTTAGACTGGGTCAAGAACTTATGGGGATCATTCTAGTATTTTAACAGAAGAGAGAAACAAGTCCCCACATTCAAGTCGGTGCCCTTGAATTCTTAATAGTTTGCACTGTATTGATGAAGTCTGTAGCATGAGTATTTAAAAAAAATAATAGCTGTAGGTTTCTCCAGGGTGAAGCAAAAAGCGAGGAAAATTTTTATGGATGTAGATTTTGTATTTCAATGCCTACAGAAACAGTTAAATGGGGCTTATGCCCTGAAAATATTTTATGATCTATAGTCATTATTCTCCAAGATGGCTCAAGACTGGTCTTGAACACCTACATCTCTCATAATACTGCAGTTTGGTTAAAATGACTTTCAGTATAAGTATGAGGATCAGTGTGGCCTTCAGTGACAGCAGTGAAATAGCTGATGACTTTTCAGCTAGTTTTGATCAAAGGGTGTTAAAGTAGCTTATGCCATCTGGGCTGATGCCTCAGGGACATCGCGACTTGGAGATGCCTGGCTGAATTACAGTTGCCTCCTCGTTTTCCTTTGCAACGTGAGCGCAGCATGACTCTTTCCTCCTTTCTGCTCCTGCTCTCTGCAGGTGTCTGCTCTGGTCAGCCAAGGGTCAGAGCCAAAACTGTACCTAATTACTTGCTTCTCCTCCAGTATCTCACAATGAGAAAAGTAAAACCACCTTTTCTATACTCAACAGATATGCTAAGAAGAAAGGAAGAAAAAGGTGTCCCTACACCTCCAGGTTTTAGATTTTTGTTGAGTGAGGGCTATAGCTACACTTGGTAAAACAATTTGCTTTGAGATTGCTTCTCAGCAAGATGTCAGATTTGTGGCTTTGACAAAATTTTCCACACATTGAAGGTCTTTTCTTTTTTTCATTCAAAAGAAGGTAAAACAACACTTACCCATCTATGATGAGTAACTGACACGAGGGGGTAAAAAATAATGAAAAAATGTAAGCCCTTTCATTAACTGAAAATTTCACAGTGTTCCCTCTCAATAAATGCTTTTCTGTTTGCCCACAATATGAGCACCTATCCACACATGGAAAGAGAATAAAGCCTGTTCGCAGAAATTAAAATTAAAGAAATTGCAGCACTGTCTAGAACTTGTTATTCTCACCTTCAACTTACCTTCTTAAAATACCTCCCAGGAGGGAAGCATTGAGGCATTCTGGTGGTGAAAGGCGCCTCTTCACCTCTGCAATGGTCACTTTGTACTTGGAAGTGGAGCTGAGGAGAGATAAGCGACCAGGAACAGAGCAGAACAGGTCTGTGGGGTTGACAACGCAGGTGCCACCTACAAAACAATAGAAATGTTAGAAATGTTGCATGTTTTGATGAATTTAGTCATGATGTTGTTTACTTGTGGTTGGTTTTGTTTGGATTTGGTTTTTCTTAGGGGGTGTGTGGTTTGGGTTTTTATACTAGCGTTGTTTTGAGAATGATGAATGGTTTGAAATTCCAGTGTAGGAACAATGATTTATTAGATCTCATAAGCTTTACAGTCAAAATACATCAGGATGGCTATTTGATATAATTTGATTTCATGCTCAATTAAAATTACCTATTATCAGTAAGGACCCTCCTATCTAGTATGATTAACAAAATAAAATTGAACCATATTTATATTTATATGAAAAATTTAGGATGCTGGTTCTAATGAGATGTTAATTTAAATTCTCACAACAGTATTTAGGATACAAAGATGCAAGGGCACTTGCAGTTTGCAGTGATTTGCAGCTTTCCACACCTTTGAACTCTGATAAATTCCTTCTAAAGTTAGGTCAAATCCTCAGCTGATATTAACGATTGAAATCTATTGAGCTACATCAGTTTATCTCAGGTTAGTTCTGGAATTTATTTCTTGAGAGTGGCAATTACTTGGCCTGGGTCTAAAACTGCTGAATGATCACCAAATCTTTCAGTCAAGACTGTGATCAATAACTCCTCAGGCAAAATTGAGCTTTTAACTTAGAGTTAGTGTCAGAGAAAGAGAAAACTTTCTCTGCAACTGATCCAAGAGAATAGGACAGAGTCCCAGGAAAAAAAAAAACACAAAAAACCCCTGACAAAAATCTTAAGGCATTTTATCACCAAGTGCAAAACACTTTTCTTAGACCTGCCTTCTCCAACCTGACTACAATGAAAAATTCTGTGGAAGAAATAAATCTTCCCACTTCCTGCACATTTGTTCCCTGGGGGAAAAAAAGAGGAAAAAAAAGAATGAGCTGCATATGACAGTAATATAAAATATCATATAATTCAATGCACTACTAGAAGGAGTTCAGCTGCTTTATGTGAAAATAATGATATAAAGATCCTCTTAGAGCAGAATTAATCTCTGCTCATCACTCATGTTTAAAGGAAAGATACTGTATTTTTTTAAACTACAGTGATAATTTTTTCTTTCCTGTGAACAGCTTAATCTTTCTTCATGACAAGAACTCACTTTGTTATGCTTTAAAATTTTAGCTTATAATCTAAATTTTGTAATGAGAAGAGAAGAGAAGAGAAGAGAAGAGAAGAGAAGAGAAGAGAAGAGAAGAGAAGAGAAGAGAAGAGAAGAGAAGAGAAGAGAAGAGAAGAGAAGAGAAGAGAAGAGAAGAGAAGAGAAGAGAAGAGAAGAGAAGAGAAGAGAAGAAAGGAAAAAAAGCTCACTTTAGACAAGATCCTATACCTTCTTCTCTATCTTCTTCCAGCTTTTTTAATTAAGATGACTCTGTTCCATTCCTCTCAGAGACAGACTGAAGGATGAAATTTCATTAAAGACAGACTACTGCTTGTTTACATAAGGCAAACAGGATTTCTTTCCAAATATTTCAACTCTTGAAGGTATATTTAAACATTTGTGCTGACAGCAATACCAGAAAAGAACATCTCTTGGTATAAATCCCAGATGGGTGAGATCCTGACTCAGTGCAGCAAGGCATTTTATGACTTTTCTAATTATGTTACAGGACAGATATTAGAGTCCACTTCTCAGACAGAGTATAGAGACAAATCGTGCATCACCAAACACATATACACATCAAGGGCACTGATGCACATTTTTGCAGAGCTCAGAGCTACAATTAACGAGCTCCTATGTTCATATACAGAAATCTGGTGACACATGCCTGAAATAATTTTGGGTTTGTGTTGTTTTGGTGTTTGGGGTTTTTTTGGTGGATTCTTTTCCTGGAAACCTGTAAATATTTTCAAGCAACATTTTCAAACTTCTGGTCTGTCAGGTACATTTGTGAAGTGTTAACACGGGCTAGATCTGTTTGTTTGGCATCTGCCATACAATACATATACACACGTGTATATATATACGTGTCAAGAAAACAGTAGCACTGTGTACATATTTATTTACTTCAATAAGTCTGTACATTTGATAACTAGTGAGACTGTATGAAAATCAGTGTCATATTAAAGTTTATCTTCTTGCCAGGTTAAGCCAGTATGTGAACCCTTTATGCCAGATAAATAATTGTTCCTTTAATCCAAAAACCTGTTACCCTGCAGCTGCTCCTATGCTAACCAGAATTTACTGGAACATACCTCATTACTATTTAGTAGAAAGTTGCTTACAGTCTAAAATGTTTTAAAATATCACACCTAAGCACCATGATCTCAAACAAAGCAATTCCAGGTAAGCCAAATATGGGTTAAAAGTGAAAGAAAACAAGTCATTTGTTTTCTAGAAACATGGAAAACAAGTTGAAAATTACAAGAAGGTAAAATTTATTGCATATAATTATTTCACTCTATTAATTATTCATTGACACAACGAGATAAGCATGGTGCTTTCTCGATGTAGTTATGCCTTTGTCACAAACTGTGTGCATTTTTGAAAGTACATATCTCCTACCACAAACACCACCTTGGAGAGGAAATAGATGGATTTCTGGCCTTTCCACCACATGTTAAGCACAAAAAAGTGTTACAATAAACAAAGAGGAAGCCACGGAAAAGAGAAAGGAAAGGACAAGGGCAACCACAGGGGAAGATGAAGGATTAGGTTTCTTGCCAAAACCACACTCTTTTGTGTACTCCTTTTTTTCCCCTTATCATGCATCAGAGTGGATAAATTATTTTGTTAAGAAGTGCAGCTCAACATGAAGATGACAAGGTATGTTTTAAGTTGCACTAAACAGCAGTGGCAACAAACAGCTTTTCTTTCCCGTCAACCCAATGCCACTGTAGGTGCTGTTGGCAAAGTCAGTCCTCACGACTTGTCATAAGAATGTATTTGAGAGATGGGATGCTAACGGACACCAGCTGAAGAGGCAGAAGAAAATACCCTCAACAATAGAGTGGAAATAGTGCTTTTCATGAGTCTAATAGTTCAACCTGGAGATCCCCATTACTCTTAGCAGCTTTTACTGGCTTCGGAAATCTTTATGGACTAGCAGCTGGCACCAGGATAAATAAGAACCCCCTTAACTCATCAAATGAAGAGACACACACACAGAAACAGCAAAGTAGTGTCCCCACCAGTGTACATGGAGAAAAAACAGTGGCTGCTGCTCACTGACTGGTTACCCACAGCATTGGCCCTACTGCAGGATTAGGAAAAAGAAAATGAGAGCAAGCAGACAGTGAGACAACTGGTAGAATCATCCAGCAGATTGCCTCAGCAATTTTGTGCTCTGAGTGCCACATGAAATGGGCCTGTGAACATTAAGAAGACTTGTTTTTAGGACAACTGTTTATTCCCATAGGGAATTGACTACATGGTCTGGTCTGACTTCATCTGTTGCCATAAGATACTATGTTAGAGATAAATGGTGATGGTTGTGCTCTTACAGCCACAGAGGTTTAAAAACACAGGCAAGACAAGATTTAGATGAAGGGAGAATATATTTCATATTGCAACTGATAGATTCGGGAAAAAGAGAAATAAGGGAAGCTTTCAGGCACGCAAACTCTTCTTCAGGGCTTCTCTTTCATCCAGCTCTGTTCAATTACTTCTTCTTCCTTCACGACAGAGTTTTACCCTCAGATCTGTCATCTTCATGTTGATTTCAACAAGTATGATTGGTCACAAGGAAAGAGATGGGTGAGGAAGAGATATACTTTGTGCAGCAGACCAGGACCCAATGCTGCCATATACCGAATTGCCTCAGCTCCGGAATTACCTCAGGAGATTATATATAACCTGATCTAGTTGAAGATATTCCTGCTCAATGCAGGGGATTGGGGTAGACGACCTTTAAAGCCCCCTTCCAGCCCAAACTATTTTTTGATTCTAATCTATGGTTATTTTCAAGTGGTCCGAGGGAGAGGAATAACAAAAGACTAAGTTCATTTTTGTTAGCTTACTTTTGGGGCCCAATCTTTTTCCCTCTGACTGACTGTTTCATGCTCAACACGACATACTCCTTTGTGTGAACTGCACTTTGGCTTTGTTTTCCAAGCCTAGAATGAACAACAGTTAGACTATGTAATACTGAAAAAGGTAGTCAGAGCTAACATTGAGAGAGCATTTTCCCTGTCTTATTCCTGTCTCCCCATCAAATAGCACAAGTCAGTATGAAATGCCAACACAAGCTGATGATGGGTTATGTAGATGACAGCAGCAAGAACAACAGAGCCATACTCTAACCCAACAGTCTTGTCAACACAAAGAAAATCCCAATAACATATGATGCAAAGAGATCTTGGCCTGTTTTGATTGTAGGTTCTCTTTGTATAGATAAAGAGGACAATAGGGTGGCCGGAGTACTGTGATTTATTGTGACTTAGTTACGTACTTGGACATCTGCTAAAATGTAAGGCTCCCTGATGCCCTCCGAGTTAAATATCTGTGCACCCTTTCATTGATAAAATCCTTATTCTGACATATTTCATGCTTTTCATAAACAATGTTTTTGTTTATTAGGAATAAGAGAGAGAAACATCTGTTATGTCACTAGATAGTTTTTACACTTTAAATACAAATATTTTTTAAATGCCTGTCTATAATTTTGTAGAGATAGACACATCCTTGCACTCTGTAAGGTAATTTCTTATTTGTTAATTATAACAGCTGTAATATGATGAGTAATTTATATTCATTCAAGGCTATGTAGTCCCTTTCTCTACCCATAACTATCATGTACTTATGGAAGGAAACATCATAATAAACTGGTGACAACAAGGCAGAAGCACTGCTTATTTTCTTTTTCAGGATATATACGTTTATGTGCTTGTGTACATTATTAAGTATAAACATGTCTGAGTGCTGACAGATTAATCCTATATCAAATATAATAGCATGCTATGCTTGTTATTAGTTTATTATTTATATCTACAGGTGCTGTTAGTGGAAGTCTCCAGTTTATAGCATATTCTCTGCCTTGTTCTGAAATTTTTGCAAGTTTACAGTATGTTACAAAATGAAGACATGAAAATCTGCCCCTCCTTCACTTTTTATCCCTTGCACATAGCAAATCTAAGGAAACAGCTATTTGTACAGAGTTTATCAGTACTATTTAATCCCATGTTCAGTTCACAAAGGTCTATAAGTTATTTAAAATGTTCTTTAAATTATCCTCACATGACCCAGTCATTAATCTGAGGAGCAAAATATTCAAAATTCTAAAACTCATCTACATTTGTCAAGAAAGATAAAAAGTGCTGCTTTTTTTTTTTAGTTGTTCTTTTGGTTTCACTAAAGTCAACAAACTATGCATCATGAAAATAGTCACACAAACCAGCTCATTCCCTAAACAGAAACAATTCTCAGATGCCCCTCACTACAATGTCCATGCTAAGGAAACAAAGACATGCCTGCATGCACAAAATATGGGGTTTTTTTTAAAAAAATAAACCCCAAAAGATTCGGTAGGACTGATGGTCTCAGCAGCAATTTTTAAGACCAGCATCTTACTTGCACCATGTTCTTAAGGATATTAAAAGTGGCTTTAAGTTTAAACAATGTTAAAAAATAGTTTGGGAGAAGCAAGGTGGAAAACAATAATATAAATAAGGGATATTGTTACAGGAACTCAACTTTAAGGATTGTATGAACATGTAAATGTAGGTTAAGATTCAGACACTGAGGACAAGCCCTCCAAGATGTATCAACTCTGATACAGGAGAACTTCTACAGCTCCTGGGGTGAAGGGTAGAACCCAAACCAGAGCCAAAAAAAAAGAAATCTACTTCATTCTTCTTTCCTATGCACAAGCCATAAGAACTCATCAGCACTTTTCAATGCCTCTTCAAGCCCTCTCTGTGGCATCAGCTTGGGAAAATTGCTGTATGCTGCTGGACAGTGTCCGTGAACTGTGCTTGTTCCTGCAGGACAGAGACTTGAACAGGTTGTGTGCAGCACAGGGTGTGTGTGTGTGAAGGTAAAGGTTTAAGGCTCTGCCCGTGGTGTCTCATGAGTGGGCTCTGCGTGGGACAGAACAAGTGATGTTGAAGGTCAGAGCTGTGCTCTCTGCAGGAGGCTCTGGCTAGTGTGTGTATTGTGTGCATGTGTGTTGTGTGTCCACTTCTGCTTCTGCATACTTTGTTCCCTGTGTGTGTGCTTAAGTTTGTGGGATCCCAAGGGCAGCTCTGCATGGTGTACATCCTGTGTGTGTGTGACTCTGAAATCTCCACTAAGGCAGATCAAGGTGAGACTGTGCAGATCACAACACCTCACAGCCTGGAATGGAGCAAAGGGAGACAGAAGCTATAATACACAACTTGCACACCAGAAAGAAAGAGGAGAAGCACAGAGACAAAAAGCAGGTGAGGTCGCCACCCAGGGGTTTTCCATCACCCTTCTGTCCACAGCCAGAACTACACCTTTGCAGATTAGCAGGGAAAACAAACAAACAAACAAAAAAGAGGACCACAAAAATTACAAACCAACCCTCAAACAATCAAAACCCCACAATAAAATCAAACAAACCATGAAGAAAACAAACAAATAAAAGCTCTCAAAACTCAGCCTCTTCTCTTCACCAAACTTCTCCCACAGGTCTGACTGGTGCCAGGAGCGGAGGGTGCTGCCGGCTCTGCTCCCTCCTGGGCCGGCAGAGCGCTCGGTGCCCTGGCAGAGCCTACTCGAACCCGCTGCTTAGCCCCCTCCATCCCTCTTCCCAGCCCCAAACTCCTGGCAAGCTGAGAGTCGCCAAACGATTTGGCTTTAGTCGGCTGGAGATTATCTCAGCTGGAGCCGCGAAAGCCATTAATTAAGCCAGCTATTTAGGATTCTAATGCGATTTAAATTGGCCTTTGGAACAGAAAAGAAAAGACGAGAAGAGAAGAAGACAACAGCGCTAATGACAGCGCGTTAAGACCTGAACACAATGATGGGCTATTACAGGAGTCCCGAGGCTCTTGTAAGGTTCAGAAGAGCCGGGAAAAGGGAAGGAAGAGGACAACAGAGGGAAGACGAGGAATGGATCTGCCTTACCCTCGGTGGGCTCAAAGCTGGGAGCGAGGACACGGTCCAGCCGCAGGGTCCCCAGTCCACTGCACCGAGCTCCACTCCAGCGTCTGGAGCTGCCGGGCGGGCAGGGCGACCTGGGGCAGGACACGGCCGGGCTCAGGAACGGAGGGTACTGACTGGCAGATGGGGGTCCTGAGGCACTCTCCGAGGGCTAGAGAGGGACAGGGCTGACCAGGTAACTCCAGTTGGTTTACCAGAGCAGGGAATAGCACTTTGAAGTAGGGTGTCTTAGAGGTGTTCTCCTAAATATATTGTTCTATGGTTCTATGATTCTATGTCCCAGTTGGCCATTCCTTTATCCTGGGATGCCTGGGGAGGTGGCAACATCCCAGCACTCTATTTTTTTCCGCTCTCATTTCCACAAAAAATAGCAGGGGAGAAGATTCTCCTGGGGCGAGGTGCAAAGACCTCAGCCCCTGCCTTCACCTGCCTCCTTCAACCTCTTGCCCAAAGCCTCGTCCTTAATGACTGAGCCATTAAGCGGTAGTTTGGAATGTAAAAAAATTAAAATTAGAATGGGGAAGAGGATCAAGGCCCAACAACTGCCTTTCAAATAAGAGGTGATACCACGACTAAGTACACAAAAGACAGAGGCGAGAAAGGGGAGCGTCTTTCCCCGGATTTTATTGGTAGGCTTTATGATGACTGATGCTTGAACTTTAAGAAGAAGGTGGTTATTTTCTTTCTTTTTTCTTCTTCTCTGTTCTTCTACTTATTCTTCCTTTTTTTTTTTTTTCAATTTTCTTTTTAATCAGATAAGATCTGAGGATTGTTCCTAACCAGGCGCTAATGCATTCGGATGTCAGTCACCTCTAAGCGATTTGACAAACTCAAGATCTCTTAAAACGTGCAGAGTTCAGATCATATTAATTCCCCAAAAATGTTTTGATTCAAAGTAGTTTGTATTTTATGTTGCCAAGGGCAATCGAAAAAGAGCTATTGCCGATAGGTTGGCCCTTCTCTCTTCATGGCCCAGAGGCGATAGCAGTATTTAAGCTTCTGAAATTAGCCTGGGGCAGGAACGATGGATGATCACAAAGCGAAACAAGAGCTTTTTTTGGAGTTTGCCATCTCGATTTCATAAAACGATGCAGGCCAAATGTCACCGTGTTGTCTTTTTAGTCCAAATATATGGAGGTGAGGACACCAAGCCTGAATACACTTCATGTCCGAGAGATAGGGAAGGGATAGGTGTGGAAGTGGGCTTGGGGATCGTTTTAAAAAGAAGTGTGTAGGTCCTCCCCACCCCCACAGAAAAGAAGGGGGAAAAAAAGGAAAAAAGAAGAAAAAATATAAATTCAAAAAGAGAGAGAGAGAATGAAAAAGAGAGAAAAATCAAACATGAATCAGGTTATTCTGCTTTTAAAATGGCAACCTAGAGAGGAATTAAAAGGGAATGGTATGTAATAAAAGCCTGAGACGATTAATAGGAAAGTATAAGAGGGGAGGGATTTTTTTAATGATTAAAAACCACAGACGACTCCTGTAAATAGAAGCTTCATTTCTTCAAGTGATTTCTTTTGAAATGAGCTATCTGAATATTCAACTTTAAGGCAAAGCTCCACTCTGTATGTACAACATTAATATGATCTCTGCAGAATTTGGTACTCAGAAATATTAACATATCAAAGCCGCTGCCTGAGGCTAGAGAAGCTATCGATACACGAGCAGTAGGAAAAGTAAAGATTATTGGTTCTGATGGTTAGAGCAGGGAAGCTCCGGGCTAAATCCTGCACACCATTAACTGAAAGTGATAGCATGGGGATCTCTGCCCTGGAATTGGTGGCAAATATTTTCTCTAGCTAGTAATTAGCTCGCCAGCACCTAAGCCTTGCAAAAATCTTTTACTTTCCGAGCCTCATTAAAAGCAAATACCAAATCACTGCACTAAACAATCTCGAAAGCAGCTGATATGTGCAATGGCAGCCAGTGATGGAAGACCCGTGTTTGTGATGTTTGTCATTCCCATCAGTATTAATACCAGGACTGCAAAGCATGACACTTTTTAGGGATTGCATTTTTTTTTGGAGAGGACTCTCTAGTCCTCTCCAAAATGGGAATGGTGTGTTCCTCTGGGAAAGTATCTGGAAAGTTTTCTTTCTTTTTTCTTTTCTTTTCTTTTCTTTTCTTTTCTTTTCTTTTCTTTTCTTTTCTTTTCTTTTCTTTTCTTTTCTTTTCTTTTCTTTTCTTTTCTTTTCTTTTCTTTTCTTTTCTTTTCTTTTCTTTTCTTTTCTTTTCTTTTCTTTTCTTTTCTTTTCTTTTCTTTTCTTTTCTTTTCTTTTCTTTTCTTTTCTTTTCTTTTCTTTTCTTTTCTTTTCTTTTCTTTTCTTTTCTTTTCTTTTCTTTTCTTTTCTTTTCTTTTCTTTTCTTTTCTTTTCTTTTCTTTTCTTTTCTTTTCTTTTCTTTTCTTTTCTTTTCTTTTCTTTTCTTTTCTTTTCTTTTCTTTTCTTTTCTTTTCTTTTCTTTTCTTTTCTTTTCTTTTCTTTTCTTTTCTTTTCTTTTCTTTTCTTTTCTTTTCCTTCCTTCCTTCCTTCCTTCCTTCCTTCCTTCCTTCCTTCCTTCCTTCCTTCCTTCCTTCCTTCCTTCCTTCCTTCCTTCCTTCCTTCCTTTTCCCATTTTCCTTCTGCTAGTGCATCTAAACCACTCAAAAGCAGCCTTTTAAATATATATATATATTACTAACAAAAATAAAATAAAAATCTGACACGAGATGTTTAAAATATTAGGGAAGCCACTCTTGAGTTAATATATTCTTATTGATGTATTACTAGAAAAGGAGTGTGATTTATTTATAGGGGATACTGTATGGTGCTTAGGCACAGGATGTTTTGATTACTGCTAACACCTATCGCTTTTTTTGAAGTCGGACAAAATATTTATTATGTATTTTTAATATACATTTGAAACTATACTCTTGCCTTTGATATCTTCCCTGAATATGCCAAGAGATAGATAGCAGTGCAGGAGTAGTTCAGCGCTTAAATCAGGGTTGAGAAGACCTTGCATTTTCATGCTGGATTACCTTTAATATCAATCTTTAAACTCTTGAATAATTTGATCGCTTTAAAAAGAGAGAGAGAGAGGAAGAGAGGTACACTACTACAGTCATCTGCACAGGTAATTGGAATCTCCTTAACAGAAGCTGGAGAGCTGAATAAACTGGTGTTGAGCTGAGCTGAGCTTTGAGCCACCCTTCAACTGGGAAATGAGAACCGCTGTCAACCACCACAGGCACAGACCCCAGCTGATGGGGACTCTGTCTCTCTTTCAGCTAACGATCTCCGCTTCTCGGAGGTCAGCTCTCGGATCAAACCCGAAAGAATTATCCCTCTTCCTAGGGATAATTATCCTTCTTCTTAGGGATAATTAGAATCCGCTGAAATCCGAGAGAGAAGGACATGAGCAGACGCAGGCACCGGCAGCACGAGTGGGGCAGGAGTTTGCACGCCCCTCTCCTCAGCGTCTCGCCAGAGCTGCCAAGGGAGGGGACAGTAGATTTGGAGTCCCTTCCAGGTCCCCGCGTCCCTCTCCC